AAAAAAAAAAAAGAAGAAGAAAAATGCGTATTGCGCTTGAGTGGGCTGCGAGAGAAGAGCGATGTGCACTGGAGCGCTTCATGAACACGCTTGAAGGGGATCTTCAATGGCCCTCTGATACCTTCGGTCCCTTGGAGACCGGCTCCAAGTGTCCTTGAGCAAGACACTTTTATGGCCCCGATGAAGTCTTTCACGCCGGCGTGGGAGAGAGAGGGAGCGTGTGCGTGGAAGCGCGAACGAGGCCAAGGCATCTGCTCTCCCGAGTGCCATTAAGGGAGCGCCGGTGCCGTACGAATGCATCCATCTCCATTTTGCCACACGCAATTATCCACTATGCGCTCAGTCGTCAGGAGCACGACAACTTGCCCGCCCGCCCGCCCGCCCGGATGAGCCCAAACCCTCCCAGCCGATCACACGTCACAAAGACAAAGGCGGCTAAGTAGCTGCCGGTAGCTAAATGGCACTCGGGTAAATGCCGGTTGCATGTTAGGCGCGCGTCGGTTCAGCGTCGGATAAATGGCAGTTACGCGCCAGTTCAACGCCAAATGTCGGCTGCGTGTTGGTCGGGGTCAGGTAAATGTCAGTCGCAACGCAGGTATGTACCAGACAAAGAGGTTACAGGTTGGTTACTTGGCAGCGGCCACGTGTTGGGTAAATGCCGGGTACAGGTTAGATTGGCGTCACTTACAATTCCATCGGAGAAAGGTCGGCGGCACGTCGGCTTCCGCGGCAGGAACACATCCGGTCGGTGTCGGGCGCCAGGTGGGTTTGGCGGCAGATCGATGGCAATCATACGTCAGGCAAATGTCACCTACATGTCGATGAAACGTCGGACGAATGTCATTCGCTTCTCAGATGCGCGTCGGCCGGGTGGCAGTTGCACGTTGGGGCGAAAGGTCAATCGCACGTTGGCTCAGCATCAGAGAAATGGCAGTCAGTCATTAGATGGCGGTTGGTTACGCGGACAAACATCACGCGGACTCTTGTTAACAATCCAATTCAGTTTCTGACGAGTTCACTTCCTGCAGCAAAAAAAAAAAAAAAAAGAAAGAAAACCCCAAAACAATAAATAGCACTGTGATCAAGTTTCCCAGAAACACTGGCGGGACGCCTCCGCTGATCCGAGCGTCGGATGAAGCGATTGCGGCGGCTGTCGCCGAGAGATTAGCATCGCAGCCGCTCCTGGCGTTTGATGAGCGTCGCGCCGCCACTTGTTGTCTTTGCGTCGCTCTCTTGTGTTGACTTAGCGGCGCCAGAGCAACTGTTTCCACTTCAGATTACGTTCCAGGCTTGGCACAGTAAGGGCTTGGGCGCGTGTCAAATAACGTGACCGATGCACGGCGATAGCTAAGTTACGCTCTCTTTTCTTTTGAGAAAATTAGCATCGAGGCGAGCGCAGGTAGCGCAATGAGAGAGTGTGTTGAGCGCTAAATGTCATTCGTCTGGTTTGGTCGCGTTGGAGTTTTTCATGTGGCGTGAGGTGTGGAAACAAACTGTTTGGTTTTTTTGTTTCTTTTCCCATGGTGTTACACAACCGCAGGAGCGAGGAGGTGTTTCACCGCCAATTTAGCTGCGAAGCGTGGGCGTCGAAGCCGGAGGGACGCTGCCCAGCGAGCCCGCCGAGGCTTCCTTCCCGCCGGCTCGGCCGCACGCCTTTCATTTGCTAACGAGGCTTTTTATTTCATTCCTTACTTTTTTTTTGTACACATAATAGCTTGTGACGTCTGGCTGCTAGCTTTCAGCGCAACCCCGTCAAAGCCTGAGCCAGTAAGTAATTGACACCAAAATGCAAACTATTTCAACCTGATGCCTTTGTTGTTCCTGGAAAATCGATTTTCACGTCTTTTCAAATTGTGTCTGCTTTGCCTTATATTTGAAGCAAAGTTCGTCAAAAACACGTCTCATTCCTTCGCCGTGGCCGTCTTGCAGATCTGTGGAAAATAAGGGCAGCGACGTGGCAGAGACATCCGTGTGACACGGCAGATTCATGTCGATGACATAACCGCTATCTGAGGGCTTCGTGTCAGTTCCCCGGCAGATATACGGCAGTCCGACGGCAGTTACGTGGCAGCTCGATGCGAGATGCCCGCCCGCCGCGCGATCGACGCACGATCGAGGCGAGGCGGCGGTGACGCGCGTGAAAGATGCAGGAAAGTTTCGCGTCGGGCACCCAACAGACACGCGGCGGCCGGACGCCCGTCACACGGCAGACGCGCGGCCGACATTTGACACTTCCAGCTCCTTGGACTAATAACGTGGCAGACGCGTGACAAATTGCTGCCGGGACTTACAGCTTCTCAAGAAGAACAATAACGACGTGGTGGAGGCTTTACAAAGTCACAAAGTAAAACGAGTGTCACCTACGCTACGTTTGGCAGCATGGGTGAGCATGAAAATGGGATTTTTCTGGCCGAGTTGTGCTGGTTTGCATTCTCAATGGTCATCAATAGGCGGCCGGCCGGATCGAGGAGAGCATGGATTTTGTTTTTTTTATATATATATATGTGTGTATTTTACATTTAAAAAAAAAGAGCAATTGCATTCGAGGAAACAACAGGAAGTTTAAAGCACAAGGTGTGAGTTAGTGTGTTTTTCCAATAAAAACAAACACGAGCAATCATAAAAGATGGAAAATGAAAAAAAAAGTCAAGTGAAATAAGGTTGCTGCTGCTGCTGCTGCTGCTGTTGTAGTATACACATCCCACGGCACAGCCTCGTAAACATTGTTTATTACACGCGCACGCACGCACGCACGGACGCACGCAGGGGAACTGAGCAATAGCTTCTTCTATTTGCAGGGGTCCAAGCACAGTCCGCCGCCTTTGTCGTCATTAGGCTCAATAATGACGGACAGTAGATCATCGGAAACAACGCTGCCTATGACAGCTTATTAAAAATAAGACGTCTAGCGCGTTTTAATAAATGTCAATACTTGATGATTTCCCCTTGATGAACTCACCAGGGGCAGGGCAGGACTTCTAGCGGGGACGGGCGAGCCGCCGGCCGCCGCGCGACTCGCCTCGTAAAACGACGGGCCGAAAGACGCACGAGCGCGTCGCTTCCTTCATCAGATTCATTTCAACATCAGGGCAAAAGCGCAGCCGCGTGTTGACACGACTTTTTTTTTTTTTTGCTGAGAATGATTGAAACATCAAAAAAGAGAAACAAGCACGTCTCACACATTCATTTAAACGTCAAGGAAAAAGGCTTTTTGGGCTGTTTTCTGCTTTGCGGTTGCACAAAAGGCGCAGAAGTGCCGCGCTGCCGCAGTTAGGCGCCGGCGTCTTCTCTGCTTGTCGTCGTTAAGTCGAAAGCCAAAGAAAAAGCAATCCAAAGTGGCAACGGACCCGGCAGACGATGTTTAATGGCGACGAGGCTTTCAGCGGCGCAAACGCGTATCGACCGCTCGGGCCGAGGCGCGCGGTTCTCCGCTTGCTGACTTTTTATCAGCTAAAGGTTTTGTCCCGAGAGGCGTTGACTTGTTTAGCGGCGCCGGAGTTAAATGCCAAGAAAAGAAGGTGAAAGCGTATTGTATTTACACACACGCGCACGCACACACATCATGTAAAGCGTATCCATTCAGAGCCAGGATGACCTCCGTCAAGGCTTGCCAAATGACTTTTGAAAATGTCATCCTGACCGAGACTGTTTTACACTCAAATGAGCGACGGCAACCGCCGCTCGCAGGTGGATGTCGCCGCCAAAACGTTAGCTGCACCAGAGTCAAGATGCACCGCTCTCTCTCGCTCTCTCTCGCTCCTCAACCCGTTTTCAAAAGGCCGTTGAGTGTTTAAAAGCACATGAAGTGAATCCAGAGATTTAGAGATAATTGCTGAAAACGCGTGCTGAGGATGAGAATGCAGTACTCCATTTTATAGCTTAAGATTGCTTTTTCCTGACTTTTGGCCATCTGACTTGACAGTCAGCGTGCGGACAAGGACTTTGCCATTTTCAGACTTCTTCCGAGCGCCTCACCGTCAGCCGTGGGGAGAAGGCGGAAGAGGGAGGTGAAAATCAATCGAAAAGTCAGACTTGACAGCCAGCTTTTGGACAAGGGCTTCACACCGGCGCGGTCGCTTTAGAGTGCCTCGTCGTCTTCCATTTGGTTGCGCGCATGTATTGTTGTTGGCTGCGAGTGCGTTCACGTCACGGAGAGAAAACGGAAGACCGAGGAAAAAAAAAAAAAGTTCCAGCCAGCTGTCCGACATGGCCTTTGTGCTGTTATGGCCACATTAGAGTGCCTTGTTGTTGGCCATGTGAGTGGTCACTCATCAAAGAGAGAAGGCGGAAGAGCAAGGCAACCTTTTTTTTTTTTTTTTTTTTTTTTTAAATCAGACGCGACAGCCAGCGCGTGGACCGGGGCTTTGCACGGCCACGTCAGAGCGAGCGCCTTGTTGCGGTGCTGCTATGCCCCGGTCTCTTTCTTTGATGCCTTTGCGCCGTCCGCTAATGAAAGATATGCATGCGTTGACTTCTGCCACATGCTGCTTGACCGGGACATGATTTATGTGATTACAGCCTGCCACGTACTGGTGGTGCACGAAAATGTTTGGGATGAGTCACCGCTCTGTCTTGTTGTTGCGCTTGTTGTTCCCACCTTGCCTCCGCATTCGCTTTGAAGACGACTCCACGTACCGGTTGGTCGGGGCGGCTGCGCTCCGCCACTCGACGCTTTATCCAAGCGCATTGTGGCTGAGAAACACTTTGAGACTTTGGTTGAAACAAAACTACATTGTGCAATGCAAAGTTAGCGCGCGAATTCGGCTTTGACGACAGGGTGCCGCGCCCTGCTGAGTGCGCTGTGAAGGGGGCTTTTGGGCGATGCTGCCGGCCTGCTTCTGACCCCACACCGAACTTCAAACCCACCATCATCATCTGCGCCTCTCTCGCAAAACGGCGGCGTGAAAAAGAACGGCGGCTTTATTGATTTGATGCAAGAGTTGATCAGCTGTCGGTTTGAAGAATGTGTGACTTGAGATTCGGTTCTTGTCGACCTCCAGATTGCCTATAAAGGTCTGAGCTCTCTTGACCCCAGCGCCGACCTGACCACCCAGTGGGGGAAGGTGACCAAGCCCACCAATGAGACTCACCACCTGTTCGTTGCCCTCCACCCGGGCACCACCTATTTCTTCACCCTCAAAGCCTCCACCAGCAAGGGGGCCGGCCCACCCGTCAACACCCACATCACCACCAAGATAGCAGGTAAGCGTCGGGACGCCGTCATGGAGTCATTCTGGATTCTTTTGGAAGATTGCGCCCCAAAGCCAGTTTGACCCTGAAACAGGATATTTGGTAGAATGGAAGGAAACCTGCAAAAAAAAAAAAAAAAAAAAGTCTGCAGGAATCCTAGCTGAAAAGACACGGGAAGTCAGCCGTTTTGGGTTGAAGCTGCATTTTCAGGAAATGTATTGTTGGGTTTCGCTTAGCAACTTGAAATTGGCTCGACGTGTCCATGATGAGTCGACGCGCAAAAAAGTTCCAAGAAGCCACGCTTGATAAGGCCCCGGAAATCCGCCGTTTGCATTTAAAGCAGCCATTTTAGACTCGGTTTGGCGAGTTGGCTCGTTTTTTTTTCTCTTTAAATTCAGTCTCCGAAGCCAGTTTGACGAAGTAACGTGGAATTTGGTCGACATGTTTACCATAAATTGACCAGCAAAAAGATGATAAGAAACCATGCCTGAAAAAAACATTGATTTTGGTTTGAAGCTGCCATTTTATGGGCCGTTTCGGAGGCATTTGGATGGCAAGAATCCTGCCATTTTGGTTCTTCCCCTTTCAGGCTCAGTGTGGCCATTTCTTCAAAGACAAAATTTGGTCGAACGATTAAGTCCCATTTGAAGCAGAAAATGAGGCGATGCTGAATTGCCAAGAATTGGAATTTTTGTCATGGCGTATGGGTGGAGCCTGTTGGCAATGTCTGTGCAACAGGAACAAGCAACAATCAATCAATCAAACAATGTATACAGATCGATTGTGACTGTGACTTCACCTCCAAAGTCAGGGCCGACCTCGTATCGTGATTCTGTGTCGCTCGGTGCTTCTTCCTTGCCTTTTTTTTTTTTCCCACCTTCCTCTCTCCCATTCCATTTTTATCTTGACTTTTACCGCGTGATTGTCAGCCGCCTCACAAATGTCACCGCAATAAAAGCAACGCGGCAGACTCTGCGGGCCAGACGAGTGGAGGGGGAATAAAAGCACCGGCGTGGCTCTCAAAGCTCAACACAATGGCCAAGGTCTGCTCCGCTTCGCACGGAGTCGCGGCCACATTCTGGTCTTGTGCGTGATCGAGCTTGCAAAATTCAAAGAGATTTCCGCATCAGAAACTTTGCGCGGGAATTGCAATGGGAGGCGCTGTGCGAGATTTTCAGTTCAACGAAAGTGCCGATAAAGCGGCACCACAAATGGATCCGATTTTTGTCGAAAATGTTCCCGCCCAACTTTTTGGAAGCGCACGCTTTCCTCGACGAGTGACAGTTAACCCTTCTCGCGGGTCGACGCTTATCCCTCCGACCGACCCCGGCGACGGCTCACCGCCGCTGTTGCCACGCGTGGTCGATACTGACGTACCTTGAGCGAGACCCGCAGTCGTCCGTCGTCCTCTGCGCCACGTTGCCAAGAGACGGCGAGTAACAAAAGAAGAACAAACCGCGGCTTCGGGGTTTTTTCTTCCCCCCCGATGACGGCGACGTCTCACTTGAAATGTCACGCCGTCAGCCATCTTGTTGATCTCCCCGCGGAGCGTGAAGATAATGGCCTTTCAATTAAAAGTCGAGCACGGAGCCAGGTTGGGGGTAGGGTGTTAATGGCTGAAACGCCACAGCAAACGTTGATGTTTTTGGGGCGCGTTCGCACGTCGGCGACCTTCAAAACCGCAAAGTGTCACGAGCGATCGGTCGTCCGTCCGCGTCCGATGATGAGGGTTTGGCTTTGACTGACTCGCGTTGGTTGTCGTCTTCCCCCTCAGCCCCCACGATGCCCGAGTATGACTCCGAGGCGCCTCTCAACGAGACCGAGTCCACCATCACCGTCCTCCTTAAGCCTGCCAAGTCGCGGGGGGCGCCCATCAGGTACATTACAATGTTATTTTTTTTTTTTTCAAAGTTTGGGATTTGGGATTTCGGATGAGGTTATTGAGGCTGGTGTTGCTCCGGGTTAAATTGAGGGGATGAGGCTTAGGCAAGTGCAGTGGTGGTTTTTTTTTTTTTTTACCTCCACATGTCAAATAAGTGAACCCATTTGCGGCAGTGTGCTGCTTTATTTGAATTCGGAGTGAAGCTTCACATTGAAGCCGGTAAGTGGCGACCGGGACTCATTATCTTGATGAGGCGTCACCAGGGAGCGCCATCTTCATCCGCTTTGAAAGGCAACGGCGCAAGTTCATTTGCAAGTTTTCCTTGCGGCGATCTCGTCGTTTTTATTGCTTATTTGTGTCAATCCCTCCTGCGAAGCCTCCCAGATTTACCTGAAATACAATTTCAAGTCTTGGTGCCGTGGAGGAGGCCTGCTCTCTAATTGCTCAGCCGAATCCTATCAAAGACAGAAGGTGAGCGGGCGCAGCGCCGCTCATTTGATTTGATTTGATTTTCCCAGCTTTTATTCAGTCTGGGAGACAAACGCGCTCCCCGGTGGAGGTCGCAAAGGGCCTTTGAAAACGGATGTTTCGTCAACAAAAGCCCAAATAGAGAAGACGGCCAATCCGGCTCATCTTGCGGTCATCAGCGATTTACGTCTTAATGAAAGCCGGCCGGCCGGACGGGATTGAGCCGTGATTGGTCTCCTCGAACGCACATTTGCTTAATTGCGCGTAATCGCTTGTAATTGCGTGACGGCGTGAGGAAGATAATTGCGGAGGGACGCCGCTGAAGAGCCCTTAGCCAATCAGGAAACGGAAAAGCGGAGGGTTTGTGCATCAAAAAACAGCAGCCACTGATATGCCAACATACGTAGAAAGCTATGATTCACTCCAACACGATGAGCGAAAACACGCTCGCTCGCCTTCTCGTGTGGTGTGATACAATTGACTTGGTGTAAAAAAAAAAAAAAAAAAAAAAAACCCCACACGCATAAATTGCGACGAGATACGATTCACTCCAATTCAATTGGAATCACTGCAACTGTGTCAGAGCCGCTGGGACACCCTAACTTGTGTTTACTTTTCACTGAAGGAAATACCTAGCTTTCTTCAGGGGCAGCAAATACACCGAAAACAGAAGGGGGTGAAAAATGGAACCCTGTGGAACACCATATGCCATTATTGTATTGATTTATTTCTTTTGTGGAGAAAGTGTTGAAAACCAAAATGAAGTCATCACCTTCCGCGCGGTGTCATTAGTTCCTACCAGCTGGTGGTCAAGGAGGAGCGCAAGTCCAGGTCACGTCGAGCCGGCTCGGAGAACCCCGAGTGCTTTGCCGCGCCCTTCAGCTTCCGCAACGCCTCCTCCTCCAACTCGCCGTACTACGTGGCGGCGGAGCTAGCGCCTTCCAATCTGCAAGCAGCCAAGCCGTTCACGGTGGGCGACAACAAGAGCTACGGAGGCTTCACCAACCCGCCCTTGTCCCCCGCCAAAAGCTACAGCATCTACTTCCAGGCCCTCAGCAGAGCCAACGGGGTAAGTTCTGACTGGAACGTACTCGGCGGCCACTGTGTTCGGGACGCATTTGAAGGCCAACGTGAATCCGTCATGGAAACATCAAGCCAGAATGTCAGACTTTCCGCATCTTTTTGGCCATGGCTTCCTGAGACTTTTTTTGCGGGTCTACTTATCATCAACCTGTCTACCAAATTTCATGTCGCCAAGTCAAACAGGCTTCGGGGGCTGTAGGATTATCATTCATGAATTCAATCTTATTTGGGCGCAGATGAGCCAATTTGGCATTTAAATGGATGCTTCGTGGTAAAATAGTTCAACGGGCTTCAGGGGTTGCGCAAAAAGCGCAGCAAAATCGTCACCGAATGCCTGCTCGAAAGCAAAATGACCGACTTCTCGTGTCTTTTGGGGCATGCTTTCATGGCGACTTGTTTTTTTTTTTGCCTTGCCATATCCACCGAATGTCATGTTGCAAAATCAAACCGGTTTCGGAGGCTGAATTTTCAAAGGCAGTTCCGGGAGGCGCGGGCGAAGGATAGTTGGCGGCTCAAACTCATAAGGAAGTTAGAATAACACCAGACAACTGAATCGCTGCTCTGTATTAAATATAAAACAGCCCTCACAGGACTTAGTGAAAGTCGAAGCAGGTGCCCCAAGTTTGGAGCTGCTATCAATCACCCTGAGGTGCTCCTCTGTCGCCATTTCGCAGTGTTCACATCTTTTCTTTGACTTTTTTTTTTTGGCATCAAAAAGTGAGCAGCTGTTGCGAATAGAAGACAAGTCTTCTTTTCAACACCTCCGCTATGTAAATTTGTCGCCGGCTTAAATCTTTGGCCACTTCTGCAGCTTTTTTTCCTCATCAAAGAAACACATTTTGTATCATTATTATTCTTTTTTTAATTGCAACGAGTGAGCCAGCAGGTGAGTGACGAGCCAGGTGGAAACGTCAGGAAGGAAGGAGACAATTATGACATTGTATTAAAAAAAAATGATAGGAAATATGCTACCTTAAAGTTACATTAGCTACGATGCGTGTTATATAAAAATAAAAAAAAAAAAATAGGAGTAATACACATGAAACGTATAATGTTATGTTGTAGATACATGAATACATTATTTGGTCTTGATGTCACATTAGAAGTGTATGGACATGACATACGTTTGAGAGAAATACATTCAAAGTCATTCAGTACCAGCCGTTTTCAGACCATTTTCTTAACCCTAAATCTTGAAAAAAATAAATATATATATGTGTGTGTGTGTGTCTTTATTTTGCTATAAATAAGTACCTGGGATTGAATGTCTGGACGGAGCACGAGGACAGAATTTTGAAAAATGATCAAATTGAACAAATTGTGACTGAGGAGGTTTCGGCCCAACATCAGGACCTCATCTTGGCTGGTTTTAGAGCCATTTCGAGCTGGCTAAGCAGTATGATCTGCAAGAACGAATCTGCCCGCGAACTCGCCTTTGCGTCTGACCAGCTCCTTGGGCACCGACGCATTGGAGCGATCTCGTTTTCAGATTCATTTGATCCATTTGTTATTGTCTCAACAACATCCAGACTTTGAATCCCGAGGCGCCGCAATGCCGCTCGACGACCACGGGGTGAGAAAAGAGGAGGAGGTTTGCAAAAGAAAGTGGACCAATCCAGAGGCTTCATCGATTTGTTCTCAAGCTATTTGAACCTCTGCCGCGATTGCACGGTGGAAACCTTCTCGGCTAAATGTTATGTACTGTGGATTTGATGTCAATATTAAAGGCATGCCATTTCAAACTTGGGAACGAAATGTGACTCCAATGCTGTGTGTGGTCTCTTGTGCTTGCAGGAAACCAAAATCAACTGCGTGCGTCTGGCTAACAAAGGTACGAGACGTCCTTCCACGTGTTGCTGCTGTTGTCGGCTTTTTTTTTTTTTTTCTTTTTTTTTTTCAAAAAGGATGCGTTGCTAATCCGAGTCATGCCAGCCCGGCGCCTGCAGTTATGTCCAAAAGTATTGGACGCTAACCATCATCAAATTGATACCTTTGCAACCGAAACAATTGACTTTAAAATGTTCGTTTTGAGTTCGTTCATCAGGAAAATATTCTTATGATTACATTTATTGGATTTTAAATTGATGACATTGATAACATTTTCAACTATACTGGATAATTCATTTTATTATTATGTGATCAAAATGGTAAATGTCAGAATTGGGTGAATTTCAGTATTATTTGAAATCCAAAACAAAAAGCAAGTCTTTTCACTCTTGTCACTGTCCAAATACTTTTGGCCACAAGTGTACCTTGTGCTGCTCATGTGCTAAATCCACACACACACACACACACACACACGCTCTCTATCACCCCCGCACCCCCACACCGCCCACCCACCTCAATCAACGACATGTTATCCGACACGATTTTTTTTGACTCAGCGTTATTTTGCCCTCTTCGCACCACCCGCTCGGAGTTGTCAATCACACCTAGTCTTGTTTCCTGTCTGCGTGCGTGTGTTTGCGTTTGCGCGCGCGCGTGCGTGCGTGCGTGTGTGTGTGTGTGTGCGCGTGCGTGTGTGTCTCCCACATTTGTGCTGCTGTGCGTTTGTGCCGCGTGTAACTTTGTGGCTGGCTGTGCAAAGCGTGACATTATGCAAGTCTTCAAACGGAAAGAAAAACAACCACGGAGGTCGCGGACGATGAAGATGACGACGGTGACAACAACAATGACGACAGCAGCGGTGAAAATTGCGACAATGAAGGCAACGATTAAAATGATGAGAATGATGAAGATGACGGCGACAATGGCGGGGACGATGACGACAAGCGGCGCGCACGACGTCCGCCATAAGCATTGACGGCGATGACGATGAGACTGCCGACAACGCCGATGACGACGACGACGACGACGACGAGTGGCTTCCTGATTGCCGCCAGCGGCGGCGGCGGGTGTTTTGGACCATCACGGTGGAATTGCACCCAACCAACAAGAAGCCGCATCTTCGCCGGACACAACGTGAGGGATGAGGGCCAAAAGCAATGCTCTTTTAGAGCAGACGTCATCCAAATTTTGTGGTCCAAGGACCCCAGATCAGGAGCCTCCTGATTCTCAAAAATGGACACTTGAAGCCAAAATGTCAAGTCAAGTCAAGTTTCTTTGTACGGCCCTTCATTTAATAACAGAAAAGTCTCAGAGGGCTTCACATGCCCACAAGATGAATGACATACCCTGATTTTAACCGCCAGGAGGGACATGGAAAAAAAAAAAACAGAGAAACCATGAGAAGGGGCCGCAGATGGGTGCGTCCCCCCTTCCAAGATGACAAGGCTGCAAAGGATGCCGAGTGGGCACATGGCCGACTTCCTGTGTGTTTTGGGGCACGCCTTCTCAAGACTTTGGAAGTCATGGTAGTCATGCCAACCTCATTTCTATTTTGCTAATTCAAACTGGAAGCAGATGCTGCTGAATTTTCAAAACAATTCGAGGAGGTAGTAGCGCCAGCCAACCAACCTAGCCGCTACTTCCTGTCTTTAGGTGCATGTTTTGTTTGTTTGGTTTTTTTTTTTCGACTTTTTGGTGGGTCTTCTCCTCATGCCTTCCTTGTCAAAGTCAAACTGGCCTGAATTTTCAAAAACAATTCCAGGAGGATAGCGTCCCGAAAAAGAAGAGCCAAAACGTTTGCTTTGAAGCAAAATGGCTGACTTCCTGCGTCCTTTGAGGCAGGCCTTTTTTTGCGGGTCTACTCGTGATACCCAAGGTGGATAATTGGACCAAATGTCATTTTGCTGAGTCCAACTGGCTTCAGGAGCTGAATGCGTTCATTTTCCTCCATTTCGTCTTGTAGTCTGCCTCTGCGATGCGCTCGGTGAGAAGGTTGCGATTGCTTTGATGTTGAATTTGAGCAACTGGCCACAAAGTTTTGTCCGCTCCATCTTTTCCTCATCGGTTCCTTTGGCTTCCCTTCATTTGTTTTGCAAGCCTCTAGCAACCCCCCCAAACATGCCGGCCCCCGGCACGCCTTTTTGGGCTCGCTCTTCCTTCTCTTCCGTGTTTATTGATCTCAATGTTGTCCAACATGCCTTTTTTCTTAGACGATTTTTCTTCTTTCTTCTTCTTTCCCTTTTTTGTGCTTGGTGTTTGTTTGTTGTTGTTTTTGTTTTTTTTTTTTCCCTTTCTTCCCCCTCTCATGCTGGCCGGCGGTGGGACGTGCGGCCCCGGTGGTCCTTAGTGGTGATAGGTAGGGGACAAATAACCACGCCGTACATTCTAGTCATCCCAAGCGAAGGTGATTATTGCTTTACAGGCCGAGTATTTGCTTCCCGTGTCATCACACACTCACCGTCGTCAACACGCCCCCCCCCCCCAAAAAAAACAAAAAAAAAACCTGACTCATTTTTGACAGACCCACCCATCACCACAAACCAGACCCCTCTCACCCGCACCCTTCTGTCGTCTGTATAACTTCATCATTGGTTCTAATTTGATTTTGTGTGTGTGTGTGTGTGTCGTGCCACGGCCATCGCGCTGCATTTTGTCTGAGGGAACCCGTTTGAGCATTTTCTCCATATTTGGCACGTTACGAGTGCACTCTTTGTCCGTACGAGTCCGGAAATTCAACCGGGCAGCTCCAGATTGTCCTCGGTGGTCCGAACAGGATGCCAACGTTGTCCGACTCGTGTGCAGATGAAACGTCGTACCGTTGCCGAAAACGCGGCGGTGGAAAAGACATGACTTAGTAGGCACAACAATTCGACTAGTGTGTTGAACTGAATTGAGTTCCATTTACCTGTCTTACAAATGAGAACAAAGAGCGTACTGGTCTGGTGACCTTGAGCTCAAGGAAAATGCTCAGACGTTTTTTCTTTCCACCCGTGTCGGCTTTCCCTGTGGTCGGCTGCACCTTTGCGAGCCGATATTTGTCTTGCACGCTCACTCCGACGGTTCTCTCGCCACGATGCCACACGGCGCGCTTCGTTCAGATTGGCAACCGGATCCGATTTGCTTTGAGCGCAATCTCATTCACTCCGGTTCTGAGAGGAGAAAATGCAAAGCAGTACGTCTCCACTTCCAAATGGATATGATTCACTGCACTTATAAGGGGGAAAAAAGACGCATTCATGATTCGCTGAAATAACAATGCAATTCAATCCAAATGACGTCCATTCTCAATTCCGACAGGATTCGCTTCGCTCCCTCAGTAATACAATACGGGTGGGTCACATTTGCGATGAAACGCCGCGTGATTCAATCGGAGTCCAATGTGATACCATTTACTCCGGCTCCGATAGAATAAAGTGCAAATCACTCCGATTCCAAGTCGATGCGATTGACTCCGCTCCTCCCATCGGATTCTCGCCGATCGCGGCAATGATCGGGAAATTTGATTCGCTCCCGTAGCGATACGATTCCAGTTTCAATGCGAGATGATTCACACCGCCTCTGATGAGGTGCCGTTGGATTTGTTTGGATATCAAAATATGATTCACTGAAATACAACGCCGTACGATCGCGACGCAATACCATACGCTTGATTGCAATTCCGACGTGATACGATTCCCTCTCATTACAATGTGAGAAGACGTGCGACGATCGCAACCCAATTTCAAGGCGCTGCCTGCCATAACGAGGCGACGCCGCAGTACCGCTGACCCCAAAATAACCAGTTACGTGCAAATTGAACATTTCTCCGTTATTAGTCAAGACATCAATAGGGCGGGCTGCGGTCGTGACGCCGGCGCCCCTCACTTGTAATTGGAAATGACGAGTTGTAGATTCTTCATGGAAAAAAAAAAGCGCGCAGGTGTGTGAGATGTCACTTTCCATTCGAGGCGAGGTTGCCCGTAATTGTTGCGGTCGGAGGCGCCGATGCAAAAAGGTGCCGGCGGATAGGTGAGGGGGGGCGTGACGGAAATGCGAGACGAGTCAAAGGGGCGCCGACAGCGCTGCGGCGCGCAAACGCAACCGGCCGCGAAGACCAAAGGCAACCTGTAACATCGCCATCGCCGTCAAATTCGCCGGCGACGTGATCCAATGTGATTCGCTCCGCTTAGGTTGCCGGATGTCGGCGAGATCACAATACGCGACGGTTCACTCCAATCGCATACGTCAGAATTACAATTCACTCCCATTCCGATGCCGTTACGATACGAGTCGCGCCGATTCTGATGTCGTGCCAATCGCAAAATGATTTGAAAACGATTCATTCCAATTCTCATGAAATGATTCACTCCGCTTACTGTACGTAATTTGCTGCGATTGCAAGAGGAGCGCCTTGATTCAAGATATGATGTTATATCGATTTCCTCCGAAGGGCGCCATTCCGAGTCATTTCACTCATAATGTAACGCAATAGTATTCAGGAACGACAGTGAATCGATGAATCAACAACTGATCAATTACCAAATGAAACGGCAGCCATTTTGATCAACAGCGAAGACCTGTTTTGAACTTCAAATTGTCCAAATCCTCTTTCTGGAAATATTTTTTTCCGTAACCCTCCAAGTAAGCAGAAATCAAAAGTTGAACATCCGCTTTTACTTTGTAAAACAACAAATCACCATTTTGGCCCATTTTCGGACACGCGGCCACCCGAACCAGTAACCGAATCCGAATCGATGTCGATGTGCATTCACGTGCTTTCTTATCCAAATCCGTCGATCGATCCAAAAATGAATGGACGGCTTAACCGCTAATGAAAGCAATCGCCGGTGGCACCCCCGAAGTCGTACATTATTCTACACTTCACCTCCGTTCGAATGCAATCCCATTTGCTCCCCCTTTTGTAATCCGATTCACAACGTCTACGGTACGGCGCGACGCGATTCCCTCCACTTGCGATGCGATCTATGTTTCAGTCCTGGATTCACTCCAGCCGCCATTCACACTAACTAGCATCTCATGTTTGGTTTTGCCAACGTTTTTTTTTTTTGACTTTACTTCAGCTATAAGTCCCGCGATGACGCTCACCCTCCTGACTCGCAAAGACGGATGAGGGACTCTGACAACAAATATTTAGTCTTTACAAATGTACACGCGTACAATACATGTCGGAATCTTTGAAGTACACACACACACACACACACACACACAC